AATTTATACAACAAATTATCACATCTTTCTACAGGACTTTGCGAAGCAAAAAATAAAATTGAAAATAATTTTGAAGAAGAAAATGAGATAAAAAAATTCAACCAAATGAAAAATTTTTGCATCTCCCAATATTTAATCAACTACCAGTGTCAACATCTTCTTAGCATTTCTCATATTCCTTCATATTCAATTTTATCGCTGATTAACTAAATAAACTAATTTTCAAATTTTTAATAATAAATTAATATTTCCAATTTCTGTTTTCAATCGATCAGTTGGATATACAAATCCAGATCTCCCACTTGGTTGATTAGTTTCACCACCATATAGATATCATCCACCACTTTTAGAAGGAAAACTTGACTATAATATTCCTTTATCAAAGTTTTTTCCTGTATCAGTCTCAGTTTATAACCGCAAAGATTATTTTTGCCTGTAGATCCGATAAATAGAAAGATATCAACATTTCTTGAAATTGTAATAGTTGATTCTGCATATACACTATATCCATCAGAGTACTAATAGACTTGTCATTGAGAACATATGCTTCAAATATATATTTTCCAGGATCTAAATTTATTTTGATATATGTGGGATAATAAGTGCTATTACGTGGATAAAAAGAATTTGCATGATATTGTGGGCATATAGGAGAATAATTTTGATAAACTTTACTTGTATCTTGGATAGAACATTTTCCATATCGAAAATTATTTGCTCCAGTCATGAATTACTCAGTACAATTTGAAAAGTTTTATAATGTATTAATAAGATCTAAAACAATTTCATAATGGCGTGATTTAAGATTAATATTTTCAATTAGGATTTATTAGAATGACAATAGTAAATTTTGATAAAACAAATGTATTTACAAAGGGATATTAACTAGACAAAGATGCCAATTGAATAGTAAATCATTTTTTAATTTGTCATGAACGAATATGACAACTTTAATATATGATAAAGTCATATCTTCTTAATTCAAGTGTAAAAGATGCAAAACTTAACGTTAAACATGAAAATAATAGTTACATTTTTGAATATCCATGTGTTAACTATTATGAATGCACATATTATGTTCTTGAAATGCAGCCTGGAATCTATAAGTTTGAACTTTATGGTGCATCAGGTGGCAGCGGCAGTGGGCATGTTCCATCATATCGATTTCCCAATGGAAGCTGTATTTCACAAGACAGAGTTAAACGTGTGAATGGAAATACTGTCTGCAAACAATTACCAAGTACTGGAGGTGCAGGTGCATATATTTCTGGCTACTCAGTTCTTTTTCATCCAATGAAAGCTTTTGCTACAATTTGAGGAATGGGATATTTTGATCAAAGAAATTCTAATTGTTATAAATCTTTTAGTTTATCTTGCATGAATCGAGGTGGTTATGGTGGTGGTGGAAGTTCTCCTGGTTACGCATCAGGATCAGGAGGTGGCCAAACCGCTGTCAAATTTGAGAAAAACGACCTTTTTCATCGTGTAATTGTTAGCGGTGGTGGAGGCGGTTCTGACAACGGTGGTGGCACACTTCAACAGTCTGATGACGGCTCCGGAGGTGCAGGAGGTCTCGAAGCGCAAAGATTTAATATAGACTGTATGTATATTGAAAATTTATCCGCAAATTCTACTTTTGGATTCAGTTTTGGGCAAGGAGAATCTTCTCGCACAGATGGTTCGAAGAATCCATATGGAATCAAAACACCACATGGATTCACAGACAGAGGAAGTGCAGGTGGTGGGTGGTATGGTGGTTTTTGCAGTCATCACAATAATGGTGGTGCTGGTGGAGTTTCTTCTTGGGTTCTGTCAGACAATGCAATTCTTCCGAAAGGAGAATTGACTTTTTATGACGAAAACTATGAAGAAATTGGTCAAGATCGTTATGCATATGATACTTCTGTATCGTTCAAGTTTTTCGATGTTCAGCATGAGTCAGGTGTATGGGAAGGACACGGAAAACTAATTATAACATACTATCCTCTAACTAGTCATTGTTTACATTATATCCATTTTAATTGTAATGCTATTATGTATGCTTGTAGTCTTTCTTAAAGATCTTTTTAATAAAACATTCCACAGTTATTTTTCATATAAAATGATAATCAATAATTGAGGATACTAGCTTTCTATGCAATTTTAAATGCAAAGCAACAATACTCACAATGCTTATCTAAATTTCAATTGAGATTTATAAAAGTGACATAAATATTGTTATTGAGATTGCATCCTTTTAGATAACCATTAATTTCTCTTTACTTTCTTATCGAAAAAAATCATACAAATGCCCAATTTCGGAGGAATTGTAAAATATTCGTAAAAAATTGAATTTAATAAAATTAATTACTTTATTGAAGTCTACTTCGTCAATGTAAAAACAAAAGTTATTTGTATGATAATGTTATTTTGATAAAAACAAAGATTCTCACATGAAATAAAATCTGCAATACAAGTGATGATGCAAAAACCACTTCCTTTATGACCAAATCTACTCATAGCTCCATCTGGTTCTGTAAATTGTTGGCTTCCATTAAGCATTATTGTATTTTCAAATCTCCAATCATATGAAATGCTTTCACAACCTTTGAAACCAGAAATATATGAGCTTCCTCCGCCCCCTGAGCTATCCTCATCCCAATGATATCCAGATCCACCGTCATACCATCCAGCGCCCCCTGCACCAGCCATATCTGTTGATGTTCCAGGTGAACAATTTGCTCCAATGCCAAATTCTCCATTGAATTGTCCTTTTCCTCCTGAAGTTTGATTTGCGCCTTCTCCGATAATGGAATCTGATTCATCAAAACGTGTTCCATTATGTCCAACTAATCCACCTGCATATCCCATTTTATCATAATATATAGCACCTCCTGGAGCACCGCTGACAATTACTCTTGATCTCAAAATTGAGATATTCAATCGAATGTCTGTAGATCCATCGCTGCCAATACCTCTTTTGCCATTATTATATATCCCAATAATAGTACTATTGCCTCCCCCGTTATTACCACCATAGCCATATAATTCATTTGAATGTTGAGCAACACCTCCAACAAAAATATAAAATTCTTCTGTTTTGAATGTATATCGATCTCCTCTCACATATGCACCACCACCAATTCGTCCTGCTCCCCAAAGTTCATATCGATATAAACCTTTTTCAATTCTTACTTTATAAGGTGGACAATATATTTGAGATTCACATTGATATGAGAAATAATACTTTTTTCCATATCTATGTGTTATTGAAACATCATAATTCAATAAGGAAAACTTATTTTAATCCTCATTAATTTTTTTACTTGTATCTTACAAAGATATTTTAATTGATATTATGTAGGATCTACAATTTTATACCAAAAATGATCCAAGGAAGAAAATTCGAAAAGCTTGGGATTCATATTTCCCGACAAATTTAGCTAAAGAAAAATGTAAGTTTCAAAGTACTAAGCTTGATGCAAGAGAATATAATTATCATGTTTCATCATGTAACTTTGACTCGGTAAATACACAAGGTTCTGTTCATTTTCGAAACAAACAACACTGCTATCAAATTTCTTATTGAAACTACACTTTTTAATAACTGCAGCAACACAGCAAATGGTGGGTGTATTTCATATATTCAAGAAGGCGAATTTATTCAAGATCGAATTTGCAGTTATTCTTCCAGAATTGATAGTGAATATGACTACGGTGTTTATTGCTTCATTCATGTAACACATTTATCCGAATTTAAAAATTTTATTCATGATAGTTTTATTAGCAAGAGTGGATATAAAGATTATTTTACCAATGGATTCGGAAACATTTTTTTGCAAAATGGTAAAATTAAAATTAAATCAAAAAAAAAAAAAAAAAAAAAAAAAAAAGGTAGTGGGGCTTCCAGGCACTTCGTGCCCTCTAGCCCTGAAGATGTTTAGTATAAATGAAGTTTTTATTCGGAGGGCTTCCAGGAGCTTTTCACAAATTATATATGTTTTCATGTTTTGTCACTTTTCTGTCACTTTTCGGGTAAAAACATTTTTATTATATATATAAAATGAATTTTACAAAACCACCGTTACCCTTCTTTGGAAATAAGAGTAGATGTAAAGATATTCTATTGAGAGAACTTAAGAAACTACCGAATGGTCTAACATTTGTAGACTTGTTCGGTGGAAGTTTCTATATATCTCATTTGTGCCATACAATATTTCCTGACTCAAAGATTATATGCAATGACTTCGACAACTATATGAACCGTCTCAAACATATACCAGACACAAACAATATATTGAAAGAGTTAAAAGAAAAGATACCTATAGGCAAGATGGAACGTATACCATTAGATAAGAAAAATACTGTCAGAGAGGTTTTGAAAAAGGCAGAGTATATTGACTGGGATAGTATATCTGCTAGACTATTATATAGTGGTGCTATAAGAGTTCATGACATTGAAACACTTATGTCAAAAGTTTTATATCTTAACTATACAAATGTTTTCAAAGAGGACATAGAAAAATATATTGAGGGTATAGAGTTTGTGAGATGTCATTGGACAGAGTTGTATGAAAAATATAAAGACAAGGAAAATGTTTTCTTTATAGTGGACCCGCCGTTCTATAACACATGGGATTTTCAATACCAAGTAGACTGGACTTTGAGAGACTCTTTAGAAACTTTAGACGTTATACATAACCATCCATGCTTTTACTTTACATCCGATAAAAGTGGTTTGGAAAGTGTCATGAGATGGTTAGAGGACATACATGACTATGAGTTTAGATACGATAAGATAGAATATGAGAGAGGTCCTATAAACTGGAGAAAGTGTCATAACAAAGAAATTTTACTAGTAAGTAAATGTGGTTTGAAATAGGACTACTTGTTTTAGGTTTTTTCCATTGTGTCATTTATTTCTTTGACGTGGCAGAAAAGTACAGAGAATATGAAGATGAACCAATGCCTGCAAATGTCCAGTATATGTACTCGTAAGAGATATTTTTATCTAATATTAAATGGACGCACAGAACTTAGCGAATGCACAGCAACCTGGACAACCAAACCCAGAGAATATTCCAAATGAAGTTAGAATACAAACTGCAATGGCAAACTATGGTCAAGTGCCAACAGATGTACAAATGCAAACTGCCATGTCAAATGACGCTGCGTTAGGTTTGCCACCATGGTATGCAAATATGAGATGGAAAGAGTTTTATACAAACCCCGAAGTGGGATATAAACAACTTTATGCAGATGACGCGAACACAGGAGTTGACCCAGAATATGTTTTCTACCAGAGGAGAAACAGAATGTATGAGCTCCAGTTAAAAAATGCTATGGAACTCAGAAGGAAACGTAAGAGACTAGGCGGACATTAGATTTTTACATATAGTAAATGGGTTTCTTCAGTAGTATTGGAAACTTCTTTCGAAATGTTGGAAGAGGTATATGGAATGGAATAAAAACCGTAGGAAGAGGAATTTGGAACGGAGTCAAAAATATTGGTAAAAGAGTAGGTCAGTTCGTTGGTATTATACCTAAAGACCCTGAACCAGAAGAGCAAGCTCCTGTTATACAACAGCCTGAACCTGCACCACAGTCTAGTTGGCAACCAAATCCAACACCTCAACCGTATTAAAAAATCATATTTTTACCGTTCGATAGTAGTTGTATATGAAACTAAGTTCTAAGTAAAACGCGTGGTATAATGGAATTATTCTCTTTCTTCCATCTGTAGTAAACCATACTTGAAAGTCTGAAATACTTCCACTTGGTGGTTCGTATAACTTTGTAGGTTTTTCGTAAAAGTCATTTGCCAAGCATAAAAAAGAGTTTTGTGCACCAGAAAATGAAGCATGAACTATAATAGCATCTGAGTCGAAAACATCTTTAAATAAATATGGTTCATCTCTTGCATATCGACTGTAAATATTTGCTAAAGGAAGTTTGACTTTCTGATTTAACATTCTTTGCAAATAATACCATGACATTGCAGTGAATTCTGTATATATTTGTTCGTCTTTCTTTGGATTGTCTTCGTAGATTTGAAATGACACTTGTGAATTTTGTTTGTCATATACAATTCTCACATAAAGTGTGCTCTCGGTATTTGCATATTCATCAGCATATTTTGCATAACATGAATTTATTTTATCTTCTATATTTTTTAACGCAGTCTGTAGAGAAGATGAAAGGTCAACTTGTATTAGCTCAATTTCTTCCCACATTTTTCGTTTCCCTTCAGATATATAATCTATATGAAACCTTACAATAAATGGAAAACTTTTATCTTCTACAGACACAAACTTCATTCTACGAAAGCCAATAGCTTTTGTGACAGATGGGTCTCTTAGCCATCTTAATGGGTAGTCAAAACGATAGCCTTCATGCTTTACGGTCTCTGTCTCAAACTTTTGACCGACATTCGTAAAAAGTTCATCTAATGGTTTAGTTGTAGCAACTCTTGAATTTTCTTTTTCTATTGAAAGCATATTTTATCTAGAATAAAAATGTCGAAAGAAACAGCGTCTATGAGAGAAATACAACACAACCGACAACTCATTTTGCAAGCTCTAAATAAGAACACAACAAACTTTTCAAACTATTCTAAGATATCTGAGTCATTGAAAGAAGGAAACTTAAAACTGACGATAAACCCAATGACAGATGAGTTTCTGTTTCAAGACAGTAAGAACCATACTGTTTGTATAAATCCAACAAAAGGAACTTTAAACGAGAAACCTATAAATGAACTTCTTTTGAAAGCAGATGTTGACAACAAAGCTGACAAAGAGTATGTAGACGATGCAATAGCAAAAGAAGAAGAAAGAGCTAACAAAGCTTATGCAACGAAAGAGGATGTTGAAAAGAAAGCAGATAAAACATATGTTGACGATGAGTTAGCATATCTGGCTAGTGGGTTAGTGAAGAAGGCAGATAAGGAATATGTGGATGAAAAAGATGAAAAAATTAAAGAAATGGTTGAATGGTACCATGAACGGACATCGAAGATTTTAGAAGGTAAAGCCAATACAGGGTGGGTTTCAGGATGTTTAGACCTTAAAGCCGACAAGAACCATACACATACCATTGCAAATATTACAAACTTACAAGAAACCTTAAACAGGAAAAGTGACGTTGGACATACACATACCATTGCAAATATTGCAAACTTACAAGAAAAGTTAGAGAAGAAAGCAGATAAGACTCATACACATACAAGTTTTACAACTGTTGCTATAGAAAGTATTGAAGGAACGGTTGAAGAAACTGGTGGGGATGCAATATATTGTAAACCTCCTAACTTTCCACAAGGTTTAACATCGGATGACGACATAACGACGATGAGAAACATTAGATGTAAAGATGTTTATGTCATGAAGGATGAACATAATATTAAATTCACTGCTCAAGATTTATATGACAAGAAAGCAGACAAAACAGAGCTTCAAACATTAAAGACAGAAATACTTCAAACATTATATCCTATAGGCTCTATTTATACGTCAATGAACTCTACCAGACCAGAAGTAGTACTTGGTTTTGGAACTTGGACTCAAATACTCGAAAGTTTTTTGTATTGTGCACACACTCCAAAGAAAACAGGTGGAAGTAAAACGATATCTGTCGACAACTTGCCACCACATAGTCATTCTGGTACAACAAACTTTTCTGGCGACCATAGCCACTCATTAAGAGACCACCCATTATACAACTCAGAGTATGAAGCTGGCTATGACGTTTTATCTCCAGATTATAACCATTCAGCAAAAAAGACTTTTCGACAAACTGAACCAGGAGGAACCACCAACATACTTTTACAACAACATCTACAGGACTAGGTAAAAAATACATGCCACCTTACATGACAGTTTGTGCATGGTATAGAAATGCTTAGTCGTCATTTTCAACTTCTTTAGCATATTCGTCAGGAGTTGTCTTATATTTGTTAGGAACTGTCTTTGAAAGTATACCACCTTGAACCTTAACAAGTTTGAAACGAGGTCTGACAATAGTAGTTTTATCTTCTGCTTGCAGTCTGTACATTTTGCCATGTTTGCCTAAAACTTCATAATATTCTCTTGTATACTTTCTTCTATTTTTACGAACACGAATGCGAGTACCTGTCGAGTTCCCATTGTTGTCATAGTCAATAGTATTTTCATATGGGTCGCGTTTAGGTATTTCTATTTTTACTTTGTCACCTTTCTTAAGTTTGAAGCCTGGCATTCTTTCTTGTTTGTCTCTTTTGACTAAACTATTAAATATATAGTCTTTCTCTAAGTCGGGTTGTTTTTCATTTCTTCGGGGGAGTGGTTTCCCAAACCTTTTTGTTTACGGCTATTGTAAATATTTAAAACTTGTCTCATCTTTGCCATGGAGAAGTGTCTGTACTTGTCGTCATATGACATTTCATCTACCTCACCACCTTGTGGTTGGTTTAAGTCTCTTAAGATTTTTATACAACTGTCAATGACACCAAGAGCAGAATGGTTTTGGTCGACAATGAAATATTGGTTTACATTTTTTGAACGCAGATAGTTTTTAATATCGTCTGATTTGAAAGAACTTTCACAGTCAGATGTCAGTTTTGTTGGATGGTATTTGTCAACAAATATTGTCAAAGCAGTTTTCACATCTAAAATATTTTTGGACTGTAATGGTATGGCTTCACAGTATCTTGTGTTTTGACCGACAAATATTAGCCAGTATGGTGGTCCATCTTCTCTATACCTCGGAATGTTTTCCAAGATATCCATAAACCAAGCATTTGGTGTTGAACTAAAGATTTTTATCATGAGTGCTTTTTTTGTTGCCTTAGAAACATAGGGGTCCTTGTTTGGATTCGTCATTTTTACCCCATAAGAAATGGGTTTATTTGGCGCATTAGCAGGAGTTGCATCCAGATTTTTGCCCGCAGTGGGAACAATAGCCAGAGGTGCATTTGGAATTGGAAGGAAGATTTTGAGTACATTAGGTATACTGAAAGAGAAAGCACAACCTATTATACAAACTGTACAGAAAGGTTGGGAGGTAGCACGAGATGCAGCAAATCTTATTCCAAATCCTGAAACAAGAGGAAAGTTCAAGGATGGATGGACAATGTAGGAAGACAAGCAGGAAACTATTATAACAAAGCAAATGACTACTATAACCAAGCAGGGCACTACATGGACCAAGGTGAAAGATTCTTTAACAGAGGATATAACCATGCACAACAATGGGTAAACAACAACCAACCTCAACCGCCTCAAACTTGGGGAATGTAAAATTTTTTACTGAGATGAAATGAACAATACAGCATTGAGACAAATGGGCTCAAGATGGATTTGTCGGCTTCCAGCAGTTACACAACCACGTGTTTGTCAAGTTCTTCCTATACCTCAGGAAGTTTTAGACCGACTTAAAAAACCTAAACAACCAGTTGAAAACAAACCAAACTAAAATTTTTTACTGAGATGAAATGACCGAAGAAGTTGAAACGGTAGATTTGACACCACAAACAAAAAGTTCAGAACCATTGTCAAAACCTGTCAAAGAACTTACAGATGAAGAGAAAAATTCAATAATAGAAAGTGCCAGGTCTGGAAATACAAACCCTAACTATAAAGTCACTTTTCATAGAAATGGAACGGCTAGTATCTCAAAAAAGAAACAGACTCTCACAAATAAAATATTGAAGTCTGAAGGAGCTTTCGAGACAACAGATGGAAAAGTTTACTTCACTGACCAACAGTTCATTATAGAACATCTCATTGACTTAGAGTCAAAATATTCTAAACTTTACAACAAACACAAAAAGTTGAAAGGAAAACAAAAACAAATGGCATATGATATTTATGAAGATGTTGACGACACAACCATACCTGCAAGTGAGGTAAAGTCAGATGAACCGAAAAGTGACGAAAAACCAATAGAAGAAGAAAAACAAAAAACTGAAGATAAACCAAAACCAAAGGTTAGTTTCCAAACTAAACCAAGTCAACCTTCATTAGCTGGTATGGGTTGGCGTCAAAGACTTATGGCAGCAGGCGGTTATGTAAAGTAAAGAAAAAAATATTTTTTTATTTTTATAGAAATGCCCCCATATAGAATGGATAGAAAATCTGCTAGAATAAAAGCAGAGTTAGAAAGATATGGTTGGAAAGTTTCAAAGAAGTTTAAATATAGGAAGGGAAGACCCATAAAAGTCTATGACAAACTGGCTGGTCTGACCTACGAGATGGACTTGGAAACAGCACGCGCCAATTATCCAAACAGACTAGAGAGGTTAGAAGAAGAACGTCTTATGGACATGCCTTTCGATGTTAGTGAACCTCAAGTTGAAGGACACGACGGCTTTGCCAGATTCTACTGGAAACATGACGAACAATTGCATCCTTTGAGAAGGAAAAAAGGTAGTGCAGAGGATGGTCATGCTCCCATGGAAAGAACAAGATATGCATATGAAAAGTATCGTGAAGTTAGAAGTAAAATTACATCTGGTCGAACCTTTACAGTAAACTTTGACAAAGGAAAGAACAAAGAAGGCTTCATGGGTGTACTTGCTGCCATACAAGACGGAAATAAGAAAGGATACAATCTCAGACTAACCGTAACAGATTTGGATGGTCATATTTACTATGCACATGGCAATGTCACAACAGCCGCACAACTTCTTGACGCTTTCAAGACTACAAAGAGAGAACAAATGGTTGACTCCGACTCAGACATTTTGAACGCAATTGAAGGAATTGTAAGCGTGAAGTTCGAATGGTACCAACCTAACCCTCAAGCAGTCAGACAACATGCTGGATACTTCCCGTTCATAAATAAGTCTGACATTGACTTGACAAGGTATGGAATTTACAATTCAATTGAAACAATTGTCAATGAACCTTGCATTCTTACATGTCTCAGGAACTCTGGTCTTGTTACAGATGAGAAGATGAAGTATCTTGAGTCATGTGTGAAGACAAGGTACATTCTCAGAGGTCAATTGGCAAAAATTGCACCGTTGGCAAATGTCAATATCCGAGTCAACATACCTACAGCTAAAGGTTCTTCACACGACGACTATGTTGTTGACAAAGACTTACCATGGTTGAAGATTGCAATTGTCCACAACCACTTCATGTTGAACGAAAGTCTTACAAACCCATTGTTCGGAAAAGGCAAGTGCAACATTGTCAGAGCTGTAAACATTCTTTTCGAGAAAGGTTTGTTGGAACCAATTCCAGATGACAAGCTGACAGAAACTTTTGTACCAAAAGACGAAACAAACTTTTCATTGTTAGCAAGACCAAAAGTTGTTCCAGACAAAGTTATAGCACAAAAGAAGTACACTGTTCCAAAAGGAGTTGGATTGTTCGGATACCAACCTGAACCAGAAGAACTTCCAATGAGGTTGCAAGAACTTCAAGATGCTATAAACAAACTTCCATTGAGACATCCAATTGACGTCAAATTGTATTGGAGAGCATCTGAGTTAGGTCAGAAGGTTTTATATGAAACAGGTTGCTTCGACGATGTTTATGAGATAGCAGGCGAAGTTTCTCAGAAGATAAGAGACTCACTTGAATTTCCACGAACTGGACCCATTGGTTGCGACAAGTTCGACTCAAACGAAAAGATATACTATGTCGACCTTAACGCTGCATACATGAGGTTCGTCCAATATATCCCGACTGGAATTCCAAACGAAGACGGTGAGTTCCCAGGAAGGAACTATACAGTTGGAAAAGTCATACAACAACTGTATGATATTAGGAAAGCTTCAAACCCCAAACTTGCAATGACACTCAAATTGCTTATGAATTCGACATGGGGATATTCCATTAAAAAACCTCAAAAGATGAAGAGTAAACACTATGAGAAGGTCGACAACTTTGTTGAAAGGTTCTCCCCTTTTGTTTTGAAGTACGAATTCACTCAAGGTCAAAGTGGCTTAGTAACCACAGTAAAACCTATTGTCGAACATTGGTCCTATCCTCAGTTCGCAAAGGCAGTCCTTGACAACTACAACAAATTCTTCTCGGAAGTCAAATCGAAAGTTGTGGTTTACTATGAGAACATTGACGCACTCATGACGAACGAAGAAGGCTATAACAAACTCATTGAAATGGGTTTAGTTGGTGAAAAGATGGGTCAATTCAAATTGGACAAAATTTTCACCGAAGTTCATGTAATATCGAAAAGGAAGTACTGGGGTGTTAAAGAAGATGGTGAAATAGTTAAACATTGCATGAAGTAAAAAATTTTTATTCGAATTTGAATCGGACAGGTCGAGTTACACCATTCTTGGTCTCAAACTCATATATAACCTGTTTGTTTGTATTTTCGTCGACTATGACACGAGACACGAACATTGACCAAACGGACAAAAAGTGTCATTTCAGATGGTCCCGCAGCCAATCGCATTCGAGCACTTCGAAGAAGCCTTACGTTCCAAGGGAGAGGGTGTCTGGTGCAAGGGAGAGGTCATGAAACTCTACGAGCAGTACATCCTCAATGCCTGGGAGGACAAATCGTCCTTGGATTGGCAATTCTACCAACTCCTCTGGGACGACCTCCTACGCAACTGGGATGACGAAAGAGTCCAATTCAGAGGTCGGGAGCTAATTGTCCAAATT